TCAGGAAATCAAAAAGCGTATCGCGATGGGAATGGCGCAGGATAGAGCAGGGTTTAGGGCTGTTGTGCATAGGGTCAATATGAGTCGCAAACGCCTCGATGGCACATAACAACAACAACACCAACTAGCACCAAGGAGGGAGGGGAAGCAGAGGGTAACATGACCTTTGCACCAGAGATGGAGAACTCTGGCCTCAGAGAGGAGTGAGACCAACACACCAACAACTCAGATGGCAGTTGCGATGACACTAGCCATGGCAGCAGTGGAAACAAAAGCAGAGTTGGAGAAAGATCAGAGATTAGTGCAAGAGATAGCTAAGTCAGGTTAACCAACCCAGGGAGCTAGAGTTGATCATTTTGAAGCCTATGCTTATCAGGTTGTAGGGGTGGACACACAACTGGTAGAGTTATAAGAGCTTAATAGGACTTTTCAGAGTGGGACAGAGGCCCAGGTTTTGAGGCCAGGGTCCAGAAAAGAATCTGCATACAAACTCCTGAGAAGAATTTGTTATGATTGGAGAATGGTATCTTGAGTGTTTACAAACTGAATTGTAACATACCACTTCCTTAAGAAACCCAGTATTACCGAGTACTGTCTATGAGTTATTCGCGTTCCTTATAATGAATTCTTGAACATATAGAGAAGTTAGCAAGAGCCATGGACAGATAGCTGGTGTTGAGACTGGAGTTCTAGGAAGCTCTAGGGTGAAAGGGTATATCAGATCTCACAGTAACCGCCTTTATCCTTCTGTTTCTGTTGATGGGGATTCTTTCCTCTGTGAAGTTAGTCGAGATTAGATACTACTGCCTTCATGGCCACCACATGTCTTTACAAATAGCATATTTATATGGAATATTATGGAAAATGTGTGTTTTGGCTACTTGTATTTAAATTGCTGGTAAGTCTTTTGGAAAGATTATTGCTAAGAGGTGCTATTCCTTGGAGAGGGATATGATTTTGGAAAGGGTGTAGGGTTGGCAAAGGAGAGGAATACCCTCCACCAGGTGGATTGACATGGTGACTGTTGCAATGGGCTCTCATGTGTCAGGCAGTGTGAGGATAACATAGGATAGGACAGGGTTCAGACCTTTTGTTCATTATGAATCATACTCAACTTGATGACATCTAACAACAACAACAACAAACAATAACTTCCGGACTTCTCCCAGTGATCTTCAAGCTCTTTGTATAAAGATCTTTGTAAATATCTTGAGTCCCTTGCAATGGGGTGGGGGTGGGGAGAATAGGAGCAATATGATATGATATTATTGTCATCATTACCAAAATTGCTAATGTCTCCAGAAATATAAACACAATAAACTGAAATTCAGCTATTTTCTAATGTGTATTCAATCATCACAGATACTGCTCCTTGAATCATTATAGTTTTCCTCGTTCTTGTTGTTGTGTGCAGTTGAGTCCAAATCGCTCCTTACCTGATCTTCCAGTAGATTTTCTGAGGCAGGTGATTGCATGAGAGGAGATTGCTCATTTTTCTCATGCAATACAGTTGGTGGATTAGAACCATGTGCCTTCAGGATTACAGCACAATTTGAGTTCCATTATATTTTTCCTTCTTGTTGTTATTAGGTGCCTTTGAATCACCTGCAACTCATAGTGACCCTTACGTACAACAGCTCTGAAACCTGCCCTATTCTGAGCCAGTCTCATTGACTCCAACACTCTTACACCTCATTACCCCTACTGTGTGAAACATCTTATCCGAGGAGTTCCTCTCCTGTGCTGTCCCTCTATCCTTCCAAGTATGATGTCCTTCTCCAAGGACTGTTTTTTCCTGGTCACCTCCTCAAAATATGTGAGATGGATCTTCAAAATCCTCGCCTCCAAGGAGAAATTCAGCTACATCCTCTCCAAGGCAGATCTGTTTGTTCTCTTAGCAGTCCATGATATATTTAAGACTCTTCTTCAGCACAACAACTCACAGGCATCAATTCTTTCTCTGTCATCCTTAGTCATTCTCCAGCTCTCTGATGCATGGCAAGTGACTGCAAAGACCATGGCCTGGATTAGGTTCACCTTAGTCGGTTGACTGATATCATTGCTTCTCAGAACTTTAGAGAGGTCCCTGACAGAAGATTTTTCCCAGTACATTTTTTTTTTTATTGACTGCTGGTGACAAAGAGTTTTGATTGTGAAAATGAGCAAGTTGTAATTATTAAAAACCTCAATCTCTATCTATCATGGTGCTGCCGATTGGCCCAGTGGTGAGAATCTTTGTCTTCTTGATACTGAGCTTCAATGCATAATGAAGACTATAGTCCCTGATTTTATGCAGCAAGCACTTTCAGGTCCCCTTCAGTTTCAGCAAGCAAGGTTGTGTCATCTGCACATCACAGATTGTTGAGGAGTCTTCCTCCAATCATGATGCCACATTTCCCTTAAGAATTCAAGATTATTTGATAATAATTCAAATTCCTATTTACATATATGAGCATAAATAATATACACCACAGTAGACTGAAACATATATAAATATAATATACAAAATATAATTTATTTTCTCTGAATTACTTAGGTGATTTTACTCAGCATATGAGAATATAAACAGCTAAATTGTGTCTTTTGTTTTGTTCACATTTAAATAGGATAATCTGGGATAGGGAATAATTTATCCTGGATGTCCAACCCAGAGTTGAAAGCTAAAATACGGTTTTCTCTTTCTTAAGAAATGCTCACTTTCCCAAAATACATCCGGTATATTCAGGAAATATATTCAAATTTCTGAACTCTAGCTCAGACTTTGAGAAATTTATTTTAAACTTGAGCCAAATTCACAATTTTAATTATGCAAGATTCACTTGTTTAATAAACCCACTCTACAGCCCACTGCTCAAAGCCTTTGACAGCAGGATACTAATTGAGCCAAGTCCAAAATGCAAATGGTGCCATCTGCATCACAACATCTTCTCCAGCAGCACTGCTATTACATTAATAGTACAAACTGCATGGGAATAACGCAGAGACTCCAGTCTTTTGGAGCCAGCTGAGTTTCTACTTAACCTCCACCCGATAGAAACACAGAGCCAGTCCAGTTATGATTAGCTTAGTCAATCTGTACTCAAAAGCTGTGTCCAATTTCCCTGACCAAAGGAATTAAGAAGTAAAAAAAGGAGAGGGAACAGTAAGAAAACATTATTTTCCTGAGTAATAATATAAAGAGGATTCAATTGAGTAAGCTTCAATGCCCTCATTGTACAAGGATTGACTGAGCATTTTCCAATAAACTCTAACATTACAGTTAAAGACAATAAAATGGAGTTGCACTAGCCATCAAAAAGAGGCACATGATGCAAACAAAAAGATTAATACTATAAAATAGACTTACATGCTGATGAAATGTAATGTTTATCCAAACCTTTTACAATTTGAAAGTTTATTTCCTATAACTTTTGTATTTACTGCAGATAAATTTACACTAGCTATTTTTAAATACAGTAATAAATACTGCACAGCATTCTACTTTTCAGCCTTGGAACATTCTTTCATTTTATTTCATTTTCTTTAACAATCAAACTTGCTTCTGATTCAGGCCACGGTCTTTCTGATCACTTGTTATGCATCTGAGGGCTGGACATTGAATAAGGATGACAGAAGAAGAATTGATGCCTTTGAGCTGTGTACTTGGAGAAAATCACTGAACCTCCCATGGTTTTCCAAAAGAACAAATTTGCTATAGAGAGGATGTAGCTGGAGTGCTCTTTGGAGGCAAGAATGATGAGACTTCATCTCACATACCTCAGGCATGTTGCTAAGGAGTACTATTCCTTGGAAAGGGACATGATGCTCGAAAGGGTGGAGGGTCAGCAAAGGAGAGGAAGACCCTCAAATAAGTAGATTGACATGATGACTACAATGGGTTCTAGTGTATCCAGAAGCGTAATGATGGTGCAGGACAGGACTGGGTTCAGATCTGTTGTTCAAAAGGTTGTTATAAGTCATACTCAAGCTGACAGCACGTAACAACAACAACCAGACATGACATTTTGATGTTTGCTCTGGCTCATTCAAAATCATTTGGGACTGATCCACTCAGGAAACCTCAATTTAAAAAGGGCATATAAAAAAACGAAGTTTCTTTAATTGAATTTGTTTACTGTCATTATATTAAAAAAAAAAAACCAAAACACAAACTAACTCATCCGCAGAAGGTTAGTACTTGAGAAATGAAAAATTACCAAACCAATCATCCTTGCTATGTTTCCACTTCAAGATGTCAGAAATCAGATTCAGTTCCACAAGGAGATATTAACCAAAAGAGTGGTATTGTTCGTCTACTCCCTCGAGGCTGTGTAAAGATGCTCTGGGACCATGACATTCTGCAGTGAGTAACATTAGGACTGCACAGCTACACTAAATACTGTTAGAGGTATTACACGGGATGAGAAATTTAAAGGAAAAAGCAAACAAACAAAACATCTTTATTACAGCATTTTTTTCGAAGTACATTTTCTCATAAAGAAATATATTTATGGTGCATTCTCAGTAAGTAAAGGTCAATTACAAATAATCTAAAGATTTATTTATAAATGGAATTAAGTAGCTGTCACCATCACTTATAAATTTATACCTCAAATTAAATGAGGAATTTCACTATCAAAATTTTAAAATGTAAGAGTATTAAGCATAAAATACATTTTCTCTCATATTAAAAAAAAATCGAATATATCTTGAGCTAAAATAAGAACAGACCCCCGTATTGTTAGATACTTACCTTTAATTGGTATTTTCCTTTCAGGTTTTTCTTGCTTTTCAGTCTTCTCTTTATGTATTTCTAGAAAGAAAGAGAATTTATAATTTTGAAACTGTCTTTAAAATTTAAACCATATTCATGCCTACATGTTATCACTATACCACAAAATCAAAACAATTATAAGGAACAAGATTGTAGATTCTAAAAGGAAAGAGACTTTGTAACATGTTGTTGTTTTTGTTATGTACTGTTGAGTCAGAACCCACCCATAGCTGACTCTCCAGCAGGTTTTCAGAGATACTTAATTACAAGGGAGAAGATTGCCCATCTCTCTCCTGCAGAGCAGCTGGTGAGACTTAACTGTGCACTTTTAGGATTTCAGCACATCTTCTTACCACTAGGCCACCAGAGCTCCTTTGTAACATATCGCTATAGAAATCTCCAATTGCGATTTAAAGAAATTTCTTTCCTGAGATAAAGGGAAAATTGAAATAATCTCAAAATTAGTTCTTTGTAAAAGCTTAAAAACTAGCAATGGCAGAGGTAGTTGTCACTATGTCAGGCTAAAATTGAAAGCAAACTGTAATTCTGTTTTATTTCAATTACCCTGAATACAAATATAAGAATCTTTAATAAGAATGTAATTTAGATTTAAGAAGATTTCGTTTTTACATATTAAATTAAGAATTTGTGAAATGAACTGTAACAACTACCTAATAGGAAATATATCTCAGAAGTATTTACTCTAAGCTATGTTTATAATCAGCATTTGGAATTACATTTAACCAATAATTAACACAAGCAGATATAGTGCACTTGGTAGAACAAGTTAACTGTTAATTATTTTTTATTTTTTTCTGAAATCACAATTTAACCAACTATTCCATTTGGTGCTAGCTTTAGTATACCATCCAGTGCCAAGACTTAGAAAATGAAGCTAATTCTAAATTTGCAGATAATTTGGATTGAAATAAATTTTAGATTGGAGCTTATAAATATGATTACTAACTTTGAAAATTCACTTCAATCTAAGTATCATAGTTTTTCATAGAAAAATTCTAATGAAGCTTACCTATTTATTACAACTTTATTCCACAGATGGTTCAATGAACTATTTACTATACACATTTTGAATACTCTGCATATAAATTTACATTTGCCTTTCTGATAATTTACCCAAATATATCTGAAGTGAAGACCCACCATAGGAAAACTAACCCTAAATCTCTTTAGGAAAAAGAATTATCAACTTTCATTCATCTGTTAAAGAGGAAGCCAGCTGTGAGAAAATTTTATTCCCTCACTTTATTCTTAAAAGGATCATTTTATTATTCATAGGGTCATCTTCATCCTGTATTCAATTCAGAAGTAAAACAATAGAAAACATAGTAATGACTGTGCAAAGAATTAAGATGCTCAACTGCATTCTTCTTTTTTTTTTTTGAGATTTTAATGAAAGTTTATAGAAAACTTGGATTTCCACTCATTCACTGTTGCACATTTTCCTTTCTGCCTTCCCCCCTCCCAGTTCGCTTTTCTCTTTGGAAAAAAACATTCTTAATTGTTATCCAGTCCCCTCCCCCAGTCCACTTTACTGTGCAGCTCTTATTCTGGACTCTTGTCATGCCAATAACACCAAATCATATATTCCTGGGTCAAATGGTATCTCTATTTGCAACTTTTTGAGAAAGCGCCATACTGCTTTCCACAGGGGTTGCACCATTTTACACTCCCACCAACAGTGAATCAGGGTTCCAATTTCTCCACAACCTCGCCAGCATTTGTTGCTTGCTGAAGAGACCATAGCTGACATCCAAGCAGATATATGCACACCCATGTTTATTGCAGCTTTGTTCACAATAGCAAGGAGTTGGAAACAACCTAAATGCCCATCAACAAACGAATGGCTAGAGAAGCTGTGGTATATTCGCACAATGGAATACTATGCTGCATTAAAAAAACAAGGAACACATCCAATATTATTCAAAATGGTTGACTCTGGAGAACATTATGCTGAGTGAAATATCCCAGTCACAAAAGGACAAATATTACATGATGCCACTGTTGTAGAATGGGACTGTCCTTGGGGTTGGGGAGAGACTGAGTAAGATGGGTTCAATAATGTATACTGCACTGAAACAGAGGAGGGAGAAAACTGTTTAAAAGAGATATATAACTAGGTATTTCTGTCATCACAGGAGACTAGAGCAAGGGCTACATGGTGGAGGGGACCTGGGGGAGGGTTTGTAAAACAATGAAAGAATCTTTTCTTTTACTTTTCCATAATTTTTGGACTCATGTACTTATAACTTGTTAGTCAAATTTGTGTCTTCTAGGTTGAAACACCCCCATGATACATCTTCAAGGATATGAACATGTACGGCCAAGCACAATCAATAAGAGTGCATCTAAATTCCAAAATCAATCTCCATAATAGTCTATGTGTTTCCTACTGCCAAAGGGGCCCTTTAGAGTAGTGAGAGAAGATCTTCACCCTGAAACCCACAGCGTCCCTTTTCAGCAGGAAGTAGCTAAGAGAATACGCCATCCCCTTTTCCTTATGACTCAGGGAGAAGTCTCTCTCAGGGAGGAGTGATAGGGAATGGCAAAGGACACACTGACAAAGAAGATTAATCAGAACTGGCTTTGACAAGCACTGTGGCATTTGGACAAGAACAAACTGGGAGGAGGGTAGAGAGAATAGTGCAACAATGAATGAATGGAAACCCAAAATCTCTGTAAATGTTTATGAAAATTAATAAAATATAATTATAGAAAAAAAACAAATCATATATTCCTTTTATACAGTTCTCTCCTTCTCTGTTCAATGCTGTATACATTCTTTATCGGCTCTTTATTAGTTTACTACCAACCCCTATGTCAGTCCTGTTTTATAACAGTGGCATTATGCAGTATTTGTTTTTTTGTAACTGAGATATTTCAGTCAGCATAATGCCCTTCCTCGTCACGTATTTTGAATAATATTTCATGAGTTCCTTGGTTTTCAGTGGCATTATGCAGTATTTGTCTTTTTGTAACTGAGGTATTTCACTCAGCACAATGTCCTTCTTGGTCAACTGCTTTGGATAGTATTTCATGAGTTCCTTGTTTTTCAGTGCTGCATAATATTCCATTGTGTGAATATACAACAATATCTCTATCCATTTGTTTGTTGATGGGCACTTGGGTTGTTTCCAACTCTTTGCTATTATGAACAAAACAGCAATAAACATGGGTGTGCATATTTCTGCCCTGGTGGCAGTTCTGGTTTCTTTAGAGTACATTTTCAGTAGTGGAATTTCTATTTCCAAATCTTTGAGAAAGCACTATACTGCCTTCCAGAGTGGTTGCACCATTTTATACTGCCATAAACAGTGAATAATTGTTTCAGTTTCTCCACAACCTCACCAGTATTAGTGGTTTTCTGTTCTATTGAATTTTGCTATTCTTACTGGGGTGAGATGATATCTCATAGTAGTTTTTATTTGCATTTCTCATAGAGCTAGCGATTTTTAACATTTCTTCATGTGTTTGTTTGCCATCTGAATGTCTTCTTTGATGAAATGTCTGTTCATATCCTGTCCTCATTTTGTAATTGGGTTGTTTACCTTTATTTTGTTGTGGTGCTCGAGTATTCTATAAATTCTGGATAAAAGTCCCTTATCAGACATGTCATTACTGAACATTTTTTCCCAGTCTGTGGCTTCCCTTTTTACCCTGTTGGAGAGGTTTTTGCATGTGCATAGGGATTTGATTCTTAGAAGGTCCCTCCCATTCATCTACTATCCTCTCCTGGTTGTAGGTTTTTCAGGATGCTTTGAAGACTGTTCATCTCGTGATCAGGGCTTCTAGGGTTCTTCCAAGCTAATGAAGTTTATAGAGCATTCTTGAAAAATATCCAGCAAGTAAAATACTGAGGAAAGGTTTTTAAAAAGGCAAAGGAAAACCTCCATCTCTGCTTGTTTTGTTGTTTGTTTGTTTTTTTAAATATTCCTGTTATATGTCCAGATTTTACTATACAGATAGCTTTGTTCCTTAATCCAGAGTGTTACTGTCTTTTTGGAATGAACAACTGTTAATTTGAGTGGAGGGAGAGGAGGAGAGTTCCATGTACTCCAGAATATAATCAACTTCTCTAACCTTTCCCTCCTAGATTCCTATACCTCCTAGACATGCTTCCCAACTATGACAATAAAAAATGGTTTGGGGAATTTCCACATACCATCTGTAAGGAAAATAGAATCAAGGCTCTAAAAAATGAAAGTTAATCAGCCTGATCATTCTTCTTCACTACTTAGACCTACCACTCCACAATTACATGTTATAAGCTCTTGATTCATGGTTGTGCTGCAATCTCAAAGGCATGCTGTCAGCTGCTATGTGGTACAAGAATGGACAGTCTCTTCCTGTGCAATTTACTGCCTCTGAAAACCCACTGTAAGATCATCTATGGGGTGGTTATGACTTGACAGCACAGTGCAACAATAGCAGTAGCATAAATATAAAATACACATTGGACCAGTCCTTGGAGAGGAACGTCATGCTTGGGAGGGTGAAGGGACAGCACAACAGAGGAAGACCCTCGATGAGAGGGGACTGGGATAATGGAGGTAGGTGTGTCAGAGACAATAAGATTGGCACAGCATAGAGAAGGGTTTAGGGCAGTTGTACCTAGACTTGCTCTGAGTTGCAAGCAACTCAATGACACATACAACAACAGCAAGAACACAAAAATGTAAATATACAGTTAATCTTGTGGCCTAGTCATAAGAAGCAATGCTGGGATCCATAAGGCACATGGGTCAGATCTGCCAGCTGCTCCATGGAAGAGGGATGGGCAATTTCTTCCCATGCTATATTAATCTGTCTCTAAAATCCTGCTGGAGGGGCATCTGTGGGTTGGTTTCTACTCAAAGGCATACAGCAACAACAGTGTATAATCACTTTAAGTCAACTGCGAAGTGTTTGGTTGTTTTATATTGATGTTGTAAAGATACTATTTTGGGCATATTGAATAAGATACTTTTATTGATGGGCCAACTTGACTATGTTGTTGTATCTAGCAATGCAACTGTACAGTA